CAAAATGTTCTTGTTCTTTTCTCTCTATCTGTTGATGTTGTTGTTGTTGTTGTTGTTGTTGTTGTTGCTGTTGTTGTTGTTGTTGATGTTGTTCTTGATGTTGTTGTTGTTGTTGTTGTTGTTCTTGATGTTGTTGTTGTTGTTGTTCTTGATGTTGTTGTTGATGTTGTTGTTCTTGTTGTTGTTGTCTCGGGGGCGGTAATGTTGTTTTGTTTTTGTTGTCTTGTTTTTGTTGTTTTTGTTGTTGCTTTTTGTCGTTGTTTATTGTATTTTGTTTTGTTGTTTGTCTATGTTTTATAGAAAAAAACCAAGGATGACGATAGGAAACAAGGGGCAAACCACACCAGAGCACCCGCCAACCGCCCACGTTAAACAGTACGTCATCCCAAAATGCAAGGGGGTGAAAAAAGGGAGGGAGGGGGGGGGGGGGGCATTCAGGAATCGAATCGGAGACTTACGAGGACACACGGCCGATGTTTTCTCATTCGACACAGAATTCTAGGACGTGTCTCAGCCCGTCACCAGCTGGCCCGCCGCTCGATCCACGGCCAGCACCTTGGTAAACACAGCCTTAGGTCTCGGGGCGATACAGAACAAAACACGGCACGCACTCGTTAAACACGGGGGCCCTCCCTTATACAGACGAGAGCGCCGCAAAACTCAAGGTCTGAGCAAACGGAAGTGAAGGCCAATCATAGAAGGAGGAATCGCTGAGTGCGTGCGTGAGTGACGCTAAGAGAACAATACTGTCGGTCAACACATTCTGCATAGTTGGAAAATATGACCTGATACAAAGGACAGTCGTCAGAGAGATGGGGGTGGGTGTGGGAGGGAGAGAGAAAGAGGGCAGAGACAGAGACGAGATGGTAAGGAGAGAGGTAAAGGAGAGTGTGTGTGTGTGTGTGTGTGAGAGAGAGAGAGAGAGAGAGAGAGAGAGAGAGAGAGAGAGAGAGAGAGAGAGAGAGAGAGAGAGATCAAAGTGACCACTGAGTGCGTAAATGCACCAACAACAAAGACGACACAGCTGCACTGTCCGTGAGTGAATGTACACATCTCCACCACACGCGCACACAGACGTCACAACTGTGCTCACCATTTGCACGAGTGTTGTACCTTGTTGAGAACGTGAGACCGCGCATTCTGCTCATTGGGCAACTCTTGAACACTTACTGGTTTTTTTGTTTGTTTGGTCGTTGTTGGGTTTGTTTGGTTGGTTGTTTTTTTTTGGGGGGGATGGGTGTGTGTGTGTATGTTCGCGTATGGGCCCGTGTGTTTGTTCGCGTATGGGCCCGTGTGTTTGTTCGCGTATGGGCCCGTGTGTTTGTTCGCGTATGGGCCCGTGCGTTTGCGCGTGTATGTGAAGTAGTATCGGGCTTTACGGCGCTCGCAACTGCGTAAGAAAATATGAGGGCGCGAAACACAAGTTGTTTACTTTCGTAAAAGTTCACTGCACGATTGGTTACCTATTAGAATTTAAAATGCTAAAATATTAAAATTCGGTGTAAATATATTTTCAATTTAAAACAACTTATAATTAACACTAAAAATTTTTAATAGTACGATTTCACTTTATAATTTGCCAAGTAAAAGTAAAATCAGACGGGGAAAAAATGGTCAAAGTTAATTTCCAACTGAGAAAGACATTCTGTACGTCAGTCATGTACGGGGTTCTCACGAATAATTTGAGACACAGTAGACGGTTTTCGTTCTCAGAATACAGACAACAGTCTAAGACACAGTAGACGGTTTTCGTTCTCAGAATACAGACAACAGTCTAAGACACAGTAGACGGTTTTCGTTCTGAGGATACAGACAAAAACCAATAATACATAGTGACAATTGCAACAGACCAACGGATACAGGAAATGAAGTGCACATGGTAAACGTATAAATAATTATCTACAAGCCTAACCTTCTAGTTTTCCAATCAGCGCCAGCAGACGATACAAAGACGATACTAACCAGCCCTTCTCCCAACAACAGACGATACTAACCAGCCCTTCTCCCAACAACAGACGATACTAACCAGCCTTTCTCCCAACAACAGATGATACTAACCAGCCTTTCTTCCAACAACAGACGATACTAACCAGCCCATCTCCCAACAACAGACGATACTAACCAGCCTTTCTCCCAACAACAGATGATACTAACCAGCCTTTCTTCCAACAACAGACGATACTAACCAGCCCATCTCCCAACAACAGACGATACTAACCAGCCTTTCTCCCAACAACAGATGATACTAACCAGCCTTTCTTCCAACAACAGACGATACTAACCAGCCCATCTCCCAACAACAGACGATACTAACCAGCCTTTCTTCCAACAACAGACGATACTAACCAGCCTTTCTTCCAACAACAGACTATTTCGCCCCAGAGAACGCAAGAGTCGAACACAAGAAGCCGCATCCATAAACCAGCCGAGCCAAGCCCGCTGTCCCCTCCACCAGCAGGCAAGTATGAACCATGGTGAGCCGGGGCTAGAGGCCACAGAGTGCGGCGCTGTCTCCGGGGACATCACGGAGAGAGGAAAGAGGGACGGAGACAAGAGGGACAAGGAGAAGACAGAGAGGAAGGAGGGAGAAGGAGAAGAAGAAGGGAGTGCAGTGGACGACACAACCAGCCTCGAGCAAGAGACACACGACTGTAGCAAGGGGGGCCAAGGTAAACTATATATATATAGTGAGATATAGAGACACACCACTATATCAAGGAAGGTAAAC